AACTATGCACTCACCTGAAAGGTGGTGACTCTGCACTCGAACAACGCTTCGTTATCTCAAAATAAGTTTTCCCTTGACAAAACCTGGTATCAATACCACTAGGGTTTAGTCTAACGTTAACCGCGACTAATTAATAGTCTAGCTATTATTATTATTATTATTATATAAGCGTTAAATAACACTCTATATAACTCATAATAATAGCCCAAATAATTATTTTAAGGTCCTAGTAATGTTACTATAATTCAAGGAGAAGCTTGTAGATCTGGATTATCTGCTCCATTTCTAGCTTGTGCAAGGTATAAAGTCTTGATCTTGATATTTAGAAGCTTAGATCTCTATGTTTTAGCTTTTGGACCCTTTTTGGTCCCATTGATGAACTCTTGTGGATTATTTTCGTTTCTGAAGCTTAGAGTTGCTAATCTTGGTGTTCCTTAAGTCCTAGAGTCATAAAGTTGCCACCTTTGAAGCTTTAATCCAACCATACATTAGTAATGGCCATTTTTACGAAAGTAGAATGTTATATTTTGAGTTTGGGCCCATTTGGGGTATGCAAAGCCACCAAGTTGACGGCTTTATGGGTTAAGATGTTGTATATGACTCAGATCTGTGGATAGGACTCTTGGACTTAAGTAGTTAAGAGTTTATTGAAGAAGTGGCTTAATGGGTGAGTACGTTGGGCGTACAAGCTTGTACGCGCAGTGTACAAGCCATGCAGTGTGTACGCTTGGCGTACAGCTGAGTACGCCCCGCATACTCAGGCAGTTGTGCTTGCCGCTGTTTGGGCCTCGGTTTGGGCCATTTTGGTTTTAGGCCTTATTGGTGTATGGATTTGGGCCTTTATGGATCTTTTGGTTTTAGGCCTTATTGGTGTATGGATTTGGGCCTTAGTTTTTGGATCAAGCTAGGCCAGGGGTAAAATGGTCATTTTACCCCAAGGATGGATTATTGATTATAGTTTGGAACCCAAGTGTTGATTGGGTGTTATTTTGTTCTGATAGCTCGGGGAGTCATCAGGGCAGCAGCTAGGATTTCTTTTAGTGAGATTCAACGATGTGAGTTTCCTCACTGGGTTTAGTGGGTCTAAGGCACCAATGGCGGCCCTTATTGATTATGTTTGGATGCTAGGAGTCTACGTGACCTTTGCATATGATATGTGTTGCTATGTATACCGACCGGGGCTCGATGCCAAGTAAGGCCTCAGGACTGGAACATATGTTAGTGTTTCTGATCATTATATGTGTTAGCATGATTATGTGATATTGATTGTATGTGTATTGCGGACGAGGCCCAGATACAGGCGAGGACTGAGAATAACAGATCTGTATACCGAGCGTGGCTCGATGTCGGGCGGGGGCCTAGTGTATGATTTATTATGTATGGTATGGGGTAGTTTAGGGAACTCACTAAGCTTTGTGCCTACGATTTTCAGTTTATGTTTCAGGTACTTCTAGTGGCAAGGGGAAAAGCTCGGGGTGTCTGCATTTCATACACCATATGGAGTATGTTTGTGGGACACACTTTGATTTTCTTGATATTTGACACACTTATATTATTTGGGTTGTATGAACAATGCTTTGAAATATTGTTTTCACTTGAATGAAAAATGAAAATTTTGGGTCGTATTTTTGGGATGTTTCACCAGAATATGCCCAAAACAAGCCCTAGAGTAAATCTAACACATAGAGTTACCAAGATAAAAACTTTATACCTTCTAATGCTAGCAAAATGGATGAAGACTCTAGATCTATGAGCTCAACACCAACCAATGCTTGAACACCAAGCTCCTTCTTCATCAAAGTGAGCAAAAACACCAAAAGTTAACCACCAAAGCTCAAGAACACTCAAGAACAAGCTAAGGTTTTGTATTTATGGTTTAATGGGATGTAGGTTGAAGGTAAAAGGGTTTGAAGATGAGTTAAGGCCATTAAATAGGGTCTAAGACCCTAAATTAGGGTTTTCACCTTCCTGGAGTACGTCCAGCGTACCCCACAGAGGTCCGCGGTCCAACCAACCTAGTACGCCCGGCGTACACCCTGTACGCCCATCGTACTTGACCTAGCCTCAAAATAACTTATCTTCCGAAGGCCATAACTTCTTCGCTCTAACTCCGATTTCAACGATCCTTATATCCACGGAAAAGTAATGAGAAGCTCTATGATCTTATCCACTCCCCTTTGACTTAAAACCTTCCGAACTTAAATCCAAAATTCATGAAAGGCCGGCGCCATCAGTTTACTGTCATACTCTTGGGCTCCAAAGCACAAACCGAACTCTTGGATCACATGATCTACACTACCCACTTCCAAATGGGTTTAAACCTCTCTTCCTTCAAAGCCCGAAGTTTTATGATACTTGATCTTCGGGTCACAGCCCCAAATTATGAAGCAACCCGAAACACGGTGTTACATTATCTATCGACTTGTTAAATATTATATAAATCACATGAAAAAAAAGTAGCATTTTTAAGAGTAAATTACAGAAAGAGTTCCTAGGCTTTGTCAAAATTTGAACTTTTAATCCAGTTTTAGGGCCAATAATTTACTAAACTTTTGGTTTTAATTATAAATTGCATAATTGGTCCATGGAGTTGTCATATCTTTTGTGGTCTTTTGGTTTTAATTATAAATTGCATAAGTGGTCACTGTAGTTGTCATATCTTTTGTGGTCTCAGTTGAAGAAATATTTTCAATAATTCACCAATATTCAACAAGGTGTATAACGGTACTGTCCCAGATTTGTCATTTGTACTCCGAGGAACGGAATACAAATTTAGGTCATATCTTGTCGATAGGATCTATCATGAACTTTCTGTTTTCGTTACCCTCAAATGTATAGATTTAAGAGAGTCCAAGAAAAAACGAGAAAAAATATCGAACGAGTATATAAATTAATTATTGTACAAGAAAAACTAGAAGTATAATCTTTTAAGATTTTTTGTTTTTTAAATATGAAAGATGCTAAATTCTTACGTATATAAATATAAAAATACAAAAAATATTATACTATACTTAAAACTTTAAAATTTAATATAAACATACAAATTAAATATTATTTAATATATATTAAAAAATAATTGACTAATTAATAATAAAAATTTAAGATTTAACTATAATTAAAAATTAAACAGTAAAATAAAATATTATTTATTAAAAATACATTTAAAAGATTATTTAATTTATATGATTGAATTAGTCAAAGAAAATAGATATTATTTCTTATATTATGACAATCTAATTTTAAATTCGATTTTAAATATTTTGCCTTTCAACGAACTTGAATGCGTATAAAATAAAACTGATAGCATCTTAAAAAATTATCCTTCAGTGCATTTATTCAACGAGCAACGTGTTCATTTTGCAAGCAACCAATTGGGTTTAACTCTATCGATATTATCTAGAAGAACTTGCACATAAAAATAAAACTTCAAACAGAGGATTTGAGAACAAGAAGAAATGGCGAACTCAATTGCAGAACTTGTCTTCATCCCTGCACCAGGGGTCGGTCACATCATCTCCACAATTGAGATCGCAAAACTGCTCGTGACTCGCGACCACCAACTCTCTATTACCGTCCTCGTCATTAACCCGCCGCCCACATTCGGCTCCGGCTCCGCCATCACCACCTACATCCAATCATTAGCAAACACCACCATGGATCGTATCTCCTTCATCGAACTTCCTCAAGACAAAACCCCACAAGTTTCAAAAGCTCCCATGGCTGCCTTCACTGATTTTATCAACAGTCACTGCAAACACGTAAGAAAAATTGTCGCCGACAAGATGAGTCAAACGGATTCAGTACAGGTCGCTGGGTTCGTCGTCGACATGTTCTGCACCGGGATGATAGATGTGGCAAACGAGTTTAATGTTCCGACATATGTGTTCTTCACTTCTAATGCTGCTTTTCTTGGATTTAAGTTGTACATCCAGACACTCTCTGATGATAAGAATCAAGATGTTGTCAAGTTAAGCAACTCTGATTCCACCATTTCTGTTCCAAGTTTTGTCAAACCAGTGCCCACAAAGGTGTTTCCGACCATATGCCAGAGTCAAGAAGGGTTGGACTTTGTTTTGGGATCTGCCCGGAAACTGAGAGAGGCGAAAGCAATCATCGTCAATACATTCTTGGAATTGGAAACACATGCTATCGATTCATTATCGAAAGACAACACCATTCCGATGGTGTATCCAGTGGGCCCTATACTCAACTTAGAAGCCGGTGCCGGAAAAGCGTCGAGTGATGATGATATCATCACCTGGTTGGACACTCAACCACCTTCCTCGGTGGTGTTCTTGTGTTTTGGTAGCATGGGAAGTTTTGATGAGGTTCAAGTAAAGGAGATAGCAAACGGTTTAGAAAGAAGTGGCCACCGTTTCCTGTGGTCGCTACGTCGACCTCCGACGGATCAGACATCAAGAGCGCCAAGTGATTACGAGGACCCAGCAACGGTATTGCCGGAAGGATTCCTAGAACGGACTGCCGGAATCGGAAAAGTAACGGGGTGGGTCCCGCAGGTGGCTGTGTTGGCTCATGGTGCAGTCGGAGGATTTGTGTCTCACTGTGGGTGGAACTCGTTGTTGGAGAGCTTGTGGTTTGGTGTACCATCGGCGGCATGGCCAATCTATGCGGAGCAGCAGATTAATGCGTTTGAAATGGTGGTGGAGCTTGGGTTGGCGGTGGAGATTAAGTTGGATTATAAGAAGGATTTTTTTAATCCAAAGGCTGATAAAGTCACGGCGGAGGAGATTGAAAGTGGGGTAAGACGATTGATGGAGGATAACAAGGTGAGAACAGAGGTTAAAGAAATGAGGGAGAAGAGCAGAGCAGCGGTGGTGGAGGGAGGTTCGTCGTATGCTTCTATAGGGCGTCTTATTCTAGACGTCAAACGAAACATCTTATGAATTGTTTAATTGTAACTTGTGTTCTTGTATTGTACCAAAGTTTGTTTATAGAGAGATATGAGTTTCCAAAGTAAAAAGAGAAAATAATTATAATATTTTTTCAGAAAACAATACAATTTCAATCAATAAAAATACCTTAAAAAATATATAGGGTGTCTAAATGATAGAACAACGTGTCTTTTTAATCAACCTCATTGTTATTAACAGTTTGCACTTAGCCACTTAGCCCTTTTGGTTTTCTTTAACAAAAACTAGGTGGGGAACCCACGTTGCGGGGGCCGGATGCGACAATTTTTTCCGTTGTTTGTTCTTTGTAAATGTTATTTGATCAACGATTTGTTTATAGTTTGAGTATTGTTATGGGACAGTAATATTATTTCGTCATGGATAATTTTTTTGTTGTCGGATAAGCATCGAAATATAGACTTCATGAGTTTATCATTTGGTTGATGGGATGAAACTGGAGAGCCGACCACCTTTTGCAATAGTGAACCTGGGTCCTTTTTGGCGGAAATGGTCCCTCATTATCGTTTAGTTGTTTCGGTTTTGTTTTTGTACCTGGATTGTATTTGGTGAACTACTTTGAAAATAAAGAATGTAAATAAATACATAAATAAATAAATAAATATGAATATTTTTGTGTTATAGCTCTTTTCGTTCTAACAGAATTGATTATTTATGTTATTAATGTATAGTTTGTTGGGAATTTTGTGTGATAGGTGTAGCGATGACAACATCATAAAAATCAACAGAATGGTATAGTATCAATTTACAAAACATAAATGCATGATGGATTGATGGAAAATCAAATAATCAAGGCACCATTAACTTTATCCTTGCTCCACGCTTTATCATTCTCTAACTTTTTGAATACGACAACTAATTCCTATTTCCAACTACTGTCACATTTTTTTTTCACCTGCATTCATACTTAACCTGTTAGGCTGATAAAAAAATCACCAAATGAGTTCCAACCTTAATACCTGGAGGATGATAAAAAAATCAACAACAATTTCAGCAACAACAAATCTCCACAATTCATTCAAGCCTGCGTCTAAATTCCAGAAATAGCGGTAAAACACAAAAACTCTTGTCACAAGCATCACTATCAATTCATAGGAAAAAAAACAAAAGGAAAATGAAATCCCAAACATCCTCTGAAAGTATAATGTTAAAATAGGATTAAATGAAAGTAAGATTCTATTACAAAGATATATATGTAAGTACATTGCTATTTCTTTCACTTATCTCTAGAGAAAATCTAAACCATAACCAACATGTGGATGAGCATTGCGTTATTAGGTGGTTGAATGTGGTGGCAGCACCCTGTTGGAATCTTAAGTCATCATTTCTCACCACCCATGTCTTCCACTCCTAAAAGCTAACACAATTTCTGGAACAAAGTAGGGGACATCATCAAAGAGTGG